CCCTAAACCCTAAACCCTATGTAGGAGGCAAAAAACCCTAAACCCTAAACCCCCCCACCCCCCCCGAAAGATTTGAAGCTTTCCGAGCCTTGGCTGCACACGCGCTAGCCCGAAGTGGCCTATGCTTCTGCCAGAAGCCTGCAAGTTAATAGTTCCATACATCTTGAGTATATTTTATGGCCAGAATATGTTAGTATTATATAATATACTATAGTACGCTCTTTTACATAAGTAGTGCAGTGAAGTCCACCATATGGAACATAGCACCTTTCAGTGCCTGGAAGCCATGGACAGGCCTCCGTAAGCCGGCGCTTGGGCACTTCGTTGCAGACTGAGAATGCTTCTAGGAGGGGGCTCCCGGCCTGGGTTTCAAGTGTTCAGAGAGACCTCGTTTAAAATCGAGCTTTCAGGGTTTAGAGTTTCAAGACGTTGGAGTCTATGGCTTTGAGGCTTCCGAATGATCACTCCGTCGAGCTTAGATGAACTTCGATGGCCTAGAATAATTGAGCTTTTCGGTTTGTTAGTTCAACTATGAAATATGCACGTAATGTACTGTGCCTAGATGCGAGTGCTGAAACTCCCACACGCAGCAAAAGAGAAGTGGCTCAGCAGCGGGTTTTCGGTGTAATTAGCCTAAACGGTAAAGGGTTCAGGGTTTGGGGATTCAGGTCCTAGGTAATACGAGTCCTGGTCATGTAAGGGTCATCCTCCAAGAGACTCTGCCAGGAGACTCTGCAGCGAGCCGGCGATCTGAGTTTCACGCCTCCGTTTGGCGATATCGGCTTCAGTGTTGCACCCATGCACCCTGACTTGCGTGTCAGGGATTGTGAGTTTGAGTTTCGAGGGAAGTGCAGGGGATCTATGATTTCAGGGTGCCATGCACAAGACGCCAGCACGACCTCTTCGCTGAAAATTTGCTTGCGAGCTTTCGCTTGCCTGCAGCCTTCAGCGCCATTCAGGTGGATGTCAGCTTCGGATCTTCCCAGGATTAGGAGCAAGCTAACAGCATCCCAGGTAGTCGTACTGTGGCATCCATGGAGTTTTGCAAGGGGCGAAGCATTTCGGTGGTTTGTTTCTTCTGAATCCGTTGATCCCCGTGGCTGCTGAAGGCGAAATTTCTCACACAGAGTTTCTCTTTCTTTTTCAAAGCATTCTCTCAGCCCTTAGCCCTCTTGAAAATACATAGAAACCCTGGGAGTGCTTTTCAAGTGCATGAGAAACCTGTTTGGTTCACGCTGCCCGAGCCGGAGCCCCATTCCGCAACCTCCTAATGGAGGTGCCTCCTAGCTGTGGGGAGGAGGCAAAGGCTGCAGATGCAACGTTTAGATGTGACTCCACTTGTTCTTCCGGCCTGTCCATAGGTTGTGCTGCCAAGGCACAGCGTCTAGCAGGATTGACCAGGCTTGCTGCGGGCAACTATCGCTTGCCAGAGGCTGGAAGCCTCGCATGCGCAGCGGAGAAAAAGAAGGTATTTGGGTCTTGTTTCGGACGTTGGTGATCGATCGGCGAATTGTGCTCGTACGCAACAGCTCCGTTACGGTAAGCCAGATGAATCAGCCAACACAAAATAGTGGCGACCGCAGCCCTGTCCACACCAGGCACAGGGAAGAAAAGGGGCGGGTGGCTCAGAGTGGTGTCTCGTGCCTCTGTGAGATGTCAGCTACACACTTTCCCTTGGTTTTTGGAGGTTTTGCTTTAATTGCCGGGAGCCCCTAGCCTGCATAGTTGTCAAAGGCCCTTGCACACGGAAGCAACCCCTGAGATACACACAACCAGAGAACTGTGAAACTGATAAA